CTTATAATTGTTTTAGATCCTTGTTTCAAAAGACTTGTTTCTGTCAGTAGCATGTTCATGCACCTGCGAAGTTACAGATGACAGTTGAATTTTTATCACCCAGCTGTCCTCAGCCACTGTGTAAAAGGCTTCATGCTTCCAAATGAAGAAGCAAAATCAGTATTGCAAACTGATGTTGGTCTCCTTCTTGACTGCAGTTTAGTAAAAGGTGTAGGAATAACCAGCTCCTCAGTTTCCACTGAGTTTTGAGCACAATGGTAGCCATCTAATGTCTTGGTATACCTAGTGTAGCTGTCAGTTTTGAACACAAAGCAGAATTCTGCAGAAGAAAGTCTAATGACCAGCTTCTGAAAATTAATGTAGACGATTCAGTTTACGCTCAGATGACTCTCTGACAAACTTCATTAGCTTAAGGTTAGAGTTCTAATCTTTTGAATGAAAATTTTGGTGGAATATTGCCTCATCCTTGATTTGCCTTCTGTCCAGAGTGTTGTATATGCTCTTATCAAGGAGCTGTGGCAAATCCAGCATTGGTATAGCAAAGTATTGCTGTCCTTAGCTGGCAGTCTTAAACTCTGTAGTAGCATTGTCATTAGTGCAATGTGAGCCTGTACTCAGTTGCTGTAGTTGTCATCTGGTATATTAGTTAACGCCACCTGTTGTAACAGGTATATGCATGAATTTGATCTGTGTTAAGGTGTCACTGGGTTACAAGGACATGTTCTGTGTTGCCGATACACAATTAGAATGATCTCCGACATTGGTGGATGGTAACTGACAATGAGAAGTGTGTAGTACATTAAACTGCAGAACTTTTTGTTTAGTGAATGCAAGTCAAAGCTCTGTGTGGCTGGAGATCAGACCCTTGGGGAAGCACCTGCTGGAGAGAGAGCATCATAGAATTATAGAATCATTAAGGTTGGAAAAGACCTCTAAGATCAAGTCCAACCATCAACTCAACATCACCATGCCCACTAAACCATGTCCCGAAGGGCTACGTCTACATGTAATGGTGACTCCACCACCTCCCTGGGCAGCCAGTTCCAATGCTTGACCACTCTTCCAGTAAAGAAATTTTTCCTAATATCGAGTCTAAACCTACCCTGGCGCAAGTTGAGGCCATTCCCTTTCATCCTATCGCTAGTTACTTGGGAGAAGAGACCAAGACCCACCTCACCACAACCCCCTTTCACGTAGTTCTAGAGAGTGATAAGGTCTTCCCTCAGCCTCCTCTTCTCCAGACTAAACAACTCCAGTTCGCTGAGCCGTTCCTCATAAGACTTGTTCTCCAGACCCCTCACCAGCTTTGTTGCCCTTCTCTGGACATGCTCGAGCATCTCAGTGTCCTTCCTGTAGTGAGGAGCCCAAAACTGAACACAGGATTCAAGGTGTGGTCTCACCATTGCCGAGTACACGGGCACGATCACAGATATAGTATGCAAGAATTAAAACCAGAAATTTCTGTTTTCTTTTTTCTCTTTGCTGTTTAAGAATGAAAAACAATAATATTTGATTTCTGTTAACTTCCTTTTCATTATTCATCTTTCAGATATTTTGTTGATGGAGGAAGCGGTCCTAGAGCTTAATACTTACCTCTCACATGAAAATGGACGGCTGCAGGAGCTGGCTGATGTTCTTCAGGAGAAGCACCGAATCATGTCTCAGGAGGTATAAAAAGGAGAGAGAAGGAAATCTGCTTTGGAGTCCTGCTTAGAATAATTTGTGTTTACCATAGTTTGGAAAGGTTATTGCCTTTGAGAGGGACAGGAGCAACAAAGTTTGAAAGTTGCCTTCTGAACAAAGGTTATGGAAAGGGTTGTTGTGGAGAACTGTACATACATCTTCTGTCGTTTGGGTTGATTTGCTTGTTACATCACTGAATGAAGGACTATAACCAAGCCAGTGAGTTGAATAGATTAAATTTTAAAAGAAAAAATTGCAGAGGAAGTGGTAAGATTATGCTAAGGTGATTGTGTAAACATCTGAGACACTGATGTGACATCCCTCCCATTTAACATTCCTTGGTTTCTCTGGATCAGGTATGAAAGTGTAACAGCATTAATTACAAGATGATCCCAGTCATTAAAGGATTCACATTATTGTCAGTATTTGTTTCAGAGGTTTCAGTTCCTTTAAAAACTGTGTTAATGCTGGCCCTGCTCAGTGTTAGACCACCAAGCACTTCAGTGGCCTGTAGAGTAGGTGAACATATGGATTAAAAAGACTTTTAAAATAAACCTTTGAATAAGCTGAGGTGGCTGCCTCTGTACTCTGCCAGGTATTACCAGCTTCTTGCTCTTTTTCTGTTTTCAATTTTTCTTATTTTCATTACAGTGTTGGGATTCAGGCAGTGTAAAATTCAGGACAGTTCATTGGGTAGTCTGTCACCACAGCAAAAGACGGGTGGAAAGCACATAAATTCAGGATATGATGAATAAGAGAAAAATTAATATTGAGCAGTCTCAGGAAATGTTGATTCTATTCAATATGCTGGCTGAAACACTCTTTTGATTGCAGTTCTCCAAGCTGCAGGAGAGAGTGGAGACAGCAGAATCTCGTGTGTCTGTACTGGAGACTATGATTGATGACCTTCAGTGGGATATTGACAAGATACGTAAGAGAGAGCAGAGACTCAACCGACACTTAGCAGATGTTCTGGAACGAGTAAGCACTGTCCTTTTTGCCAGGAAACAGAGAAATGAGTGTAGTTTTGAGATATGTGACATCATCTTATGATACTTTGCTGTGAGAAGTGAGAAACTATAACGTGCAATCTTTGGTCTTGAATATGCTATATCAGAAGTCTTGGCATTTAATTAGGTATTGATGAAATCTGTTGCCTTTTTTGCAGGTAAATTCCAAAGGCTACAAGGTATATGGAGCTGGGAGCAGCCTCTATGGGGGCACGATCACCATTAATGCCCGCAAGGTAATGTCAGCAGCTTGCTTGTGTGCAAGGGGAAGAATGAAATCAAAGAGAGCTTGTGCGTAGGGTCATAGATTGGAACAGAATTTGGATACTTCCTTTGCCACAAATCTGGATGACTCTGGGCAAGCCATTTTGTCTGTGTGCAAGTTTCCTGCTTATCAAACAGACCTGGTGGAAGTAGAGCTTGTCTCACTTGGTAATGTTACCTGTTAAGTCTGTAATTTCTGTTATTGTATAAACAGTTACTTAATTAGTACCCTCAGTAGATACATTAACAGTGGGATTTACAAGCACTTTCTTCCCAACAGTTTGAGGAGATGAATGCAGAGCTGGAAGAGAATAAAGAGCTTGCTGGGAATCGCCTCAGTGAGTTGGAGGAACTACGCCAGGATCTTGAGGAAGTAACAACTCAGAATGAAAAACTCAAGGTGAGACGTCTGTATCTGAGGATTAAGGTGTTCTGTGTGGTTGGTTCCCCTCTGTCTTGCTGTACTGTGTCTCTGGAAAAACCTCATTATTCTATTTTGTGTTTGCGCTTTAGCTATGTTAAAGTTTTTGTGACTTACACGTGCAGTTCAGTGCATTGGTGACACCATGTGGTCATCATTGGAAACTGTAGTGGTTTCTTATTTCCTGTTTTCCATTCTGATCTATTCAGTACATGTTACTCATGTCTAATTAAAACTAATTTCAAGTCTTTACACGTATTGGCCCCTCTTCCACCTTCCCTGTGCAAGTGGAATGAGAGAACTGAAAAAAATCATGAACTTGTGTAGGAGAGCTAGGCTCCTCAAAGTGTTGATGAACTTAAATCTTTCCCAGTGTGGTAGAATGGATAGATAGGCAACAGGGTACGATTTTCTTACGTCTTAATGGTGCTAACACAAAAACCTGTCAATCTATAGTAGATAAAATTTAGCTTATTCTCTGTATCATATACTTACCTTAGTGATCAGTAGGTGTGTAAGCCTGTTATAAGAAATGTCTGAGCTGATAACCTAAGTTTCAGAGATGAGATTCCAGAAACTGTCTTGAAACACCTCCAAGCAGATTTATTCTGTTTATCTACCTGAGTTTGGTTTGAGAGAAAGACCATTTGGCTTACAACTTTGCTTTTCTCTTAATAAGTGTTAAGCTGTATGTGAACATATGTGTCTCTTTCACTGCTGGTAATCACAATCATTTGCTAACTTGTTTTGGAAGGAAAATTCAGATTCTGTACTTCTGCTTTTTTTCATTTCTCTTCCTTTCAGTCATCACGTCTTTTATTGGTAGAAAGTTAAATAATGCCTACTTCCTCATAGACTTTCTCTAGTTTTGTCATACTTTTCTATGTGTCCATCTTTATTCATTTAGGTGATTATAGCTTTACAGTAAACCCATTGAAAAGGTATGTTATGTTTTGCAAGCTTATATCTTTGAGAGAAACTATTGCAGAATCTGAGAATCAAGAACTCTTGTCATGTGGCTATGCAAGAGAAACAGCCCAGTGCCTACACAGAAAGCACAGACTTTGTTAATTGATCCGAAGCATATCACTTGCATCTACTTCACAGCAATGCTATTAAAGTTCTACTTTTGTCTTCGCTTGTGGCAGCTTGATTCACTGTTCTCCTACCTTGCAAAATAGATGGCAAAGAAAAGGACATAATTTTTCTTTCTCTGGCATTTTCTTGTGTCATGACTAGGTTGAGCTGAGACGAGCAGTGGAAGAGGCTGTGAAGGAGACCCCAGAATATCGCTGCATGCAGTCCCAGTTTTCAGTTTTGTATAATGAGAGTCTCCAGCTGAAGGCTCATCTTGATGAGGCCCGCACTCTGCTTCACGGCACCCGCACCACACACCAGCGCCAGGTGGAACTAATCGAGGTAGCACCTCTGCTCCATCAGACTAGGGAACGTTGTTACTCCATTGACCATGACTGCTGGGTCTGGGTGGCTCTGTGAATTCTCAGGAAATTTATCTTTCTGGCAATAATTCATCTGTTCTGGTACCTCATGTTGATGAGGTAAGAGATGCTTCAGAGTCACAGCAACAAGTTCTGTCCCCTTCTTACTCTTCAGAGGGATGAGGTCAGCCTTCACAAGAAATTACGCACAGAGGTGATTCAGCTAGAGGACACCCTGGCACAAGTCCGCAAAGAATATGAGATGTTGAGGATAGAGTTTGAACAGACACTTGCTGCCAATGAACAAGCAGGTATGGAGTTTTTCTGCTGTGCTTAAAAACAAACAAGTCTTCCCCCCTCACCCCCAAGCCCCATGCCCATTAGAAGCTGCATTACAGTAAAACACCTGGTTTGATTCTTCATTATTGTTAAATACTTGTTCTGGCAGGTCTCTAGCTCAAAAAACCAAAGCTCTTCACGTGTTTTATGAGGCCAGTTCCATGTTACCTGATTTTCTTTTAGGTGTTGCAAAATACATACATATTGCTAATAATTTGGTTTATGACAGAGTATTTTGCATTATTAAAAATTACCTTTAGGGGCATTCATTTACAAGTCTGGAATGACAGCCTGGATAGGAAACCAGTAATTTTCAAATTTCATCAGAGGAAATAAGGAAGTTATTTCTAAAGTAGCATTTAAATCATAGATATTTTTTTGTAGCATGACACATTTCCCTTAGGCACATGGGGAAAAAGTAATATTAAGGGGAAATAAGGACTGGGAATTTGCAAGGACTTACAGTTGAATGTAAAACCAGCATGACTTTTTTCTGCAAATGTGTTTGTGTTGCTTTGTTGTGTGGCAGAATGATAATAGTGTTATTTTGGTTCTTTGTCATTGTCACTTAGCTTGTTCTTCATCTCCATGAAAGTCCTCACAGAAGGTTGGCAAAGGTGTGGTTTGTTACAGTTCTGTTTCTGTTTTTATAGGCCCAATTAATCGGGAGATGCGTCATCTCATCAGCAGCCTCCAAAATCACAACCACCAGCTGAAGGGAGAAGTGTTAAGATATAAGCGCAAACTGAGAGAGGCCCAATCTGACTTGAGCAAGGTATCAAAGCAGGAAATGGCAGAAAAGAGCAGAAAGTACTTAGAAGAGGGAATACTGTCACCCTTCCCTGCAATATCAACCTTTCTGTTATGGCATGGAGGAGGCAATGTGATTTTTGATGGAGCTCTACACACTACTGCTTCCACTTACGAAATGAATGGTCTTCCTTTGTAGCTGTATAGTGCTCCATGAAAAGTAGTAGCCATTACGGAAGGGGGATGCAAGCATGGATCTGGGAAGACCAGGGAAGGGTAATAAAGTAGATTTCTGGCTAAGAACTTAATGGTTTGTTTTCTTCTGTGTCGTCTTTCTTGCTATTCCACAACAGATCCGCTCTCGCAGTGGTAGTGCTCTCTTGCAGTCCCAGTCCAGCACTGAAGACACAAAGGAGGAACCTCCAGAGATCAAGCAGGAACCTGACGATCCTTCTGCCCAAGTGTCTGTCCCCAAGGCTGCTTCTGAAGATATTAATGAAATGAAGGCCAGGAGAGATGAAGAGGAACGGGAGCGAGAGAGACGGGAGAGGGAGAGAGAACGAGAGAAGGAAAAGGAGAAAGAGAGAGAGAGAGAGAAAGAGAAAGAAAAGGAAAAGGAACGAGAGCGGGAAAAGCAGAAGCAGAAGGAATCTGAGAAGGAGAGAGAGTCCAAAGAGAAGGAGAAAGGGAAGCATGAAGATGGAAGAAAGAAGGAGGCTGAAGTGATCAAGCAGCTGAAGGCTGAGCTCAAGTAAGAGTTGTTGTCCCTCCCTTTTCTGCTTGAGTTTGTGTGAGATGACTTGTAGCTCACTTTTAATGAGACTAGCTTCACTGAAGTGAGAGGTTGCTGGCACCCTTAATACTTGATTGTGATTTGGACAATGCAGTAACATTTCTCCTACAACAGCCCAAAGCATGAATTACCAAAGCCAGTACGTCATAGTAATGACGTCAAGTAATTTTTGTTTGTTGCTGTCATAACAATTGCATAAAGCTTTACAGCAGCACATTATTAATAAAGGGCACAGTAGTCTTCCAAGATCTTCCAGACCAGTACCAAAGCAAAGATGGGTAGTTTGTTGCTTACTATTAGGGTACATGTTTCCTCCCCACCCCACTTCTCTTGGCTGAGAACATGAACATGTTTCTTTTCAGCCTCCAGCCTGTACTCCTTGGCTATTTTATATTACTAGAGTAAGATGAGCCAAGGATGACTCTATATGCATGCCATATGGGACATGGAACATGGAAAGAATATTGCTCTGATCCTCATGCTGGATATGTAGCAGCATAGATTTCCTGCACTGTTCTTACAGTTGTCTATCTCCCTGTCTCCAGGAAGGCCCAGGAGAGCCAGAAAGAGATGAAACTGTTGCTAGATATGTACCGCTCTGCCCCCAAAGAGCAGAGAGACAAAGTGCAGCTGATGGCAGCTGAAAAGAAGGCAAAAGCTGAGGTAAACCTCATTTCTCTTTCTTTCTTTAGCATGTTACTTAAAACTTCTTTTTGGAGAGTCTGCACCTGAATTCTGTTGTTTTCTTTGAAAAACGGGAGATTGTTCCTCTTCTCATCTTAGTCACTTAGGAGAGATTGGAATGTTCTGGAAAGGGAGATTTTGGGCTATTCTCCTCTGGGAAGGGATGATCCCTTTGCCCAGGTTGAGGGACATGGCTGCTGCTTTCCAAGTTGCATATTCAACCAGTAGCTACATTGAGCACACGTCCCAGAGGAAGACACACACAGAGGACACTGACATGCCAGCCAGACTGCCACAGGCAAGGTGCTGTCTTCAACAGCATGTACATAGAGGACTCAAAGTGTAAGCATAGACAGGCAAGTCCCCTTCCTTCTCTTCAGCTGGTGAAGGTAAAAGGTCACTAGTGTAGGCACATGCACAACACCCTCTAGGTTCACAAGCACACACACATTTGCAGATCCTTCAAGTACCAGCACGGCCCCTCTGGCTCTCTGGTACACCTATGATCCCAGGCCCTATTGTGTTCTTCACATACAGGTCTCACCTGTAGCTAGCACTTATTCCATGCAGTACGCATACACATGGGATAGAGAGATTACACAGAGATAGTTAAGAAAATATTTAATAAGATACATGAAGATAGGACAGGCTGTGGTCATCATGCGCAGAACTGAGCCAGACAAGTGTGTATGGACTGTCCTCATTTTACATGTGACCGACTTACATGCTGCTCTGTCTAACCCCAGTTTGTTCATCCTTGTTCTCCCTTGCCCTGTATGTCCCTCCTTGGTTTATATAGCTTTATCCATTCCCACAACCCTCCCAGTCCAGGACCTACCCCTAGTTTACAGTCTTATCAGTTGCAAAGTCCAGGTTGATCTTCCTGGAAGGGGTGCCTGTAGTTTCTTGGTAACCTATAAACTGTTGTGACTGGGGAGGTTTGTTTCTTGTCTTTGTCTTCATGTTTGTTTTGTCAGGTCTGTGTCTCTGTATTTTGTTTTAGATTTCCCCCTGCTCCACCACTTAGTTTCCCAATTGACAGGGTCCACAGTCAGGTAACCTTACTGCCTCTCTTATCATTGTCCGTCAGGTTTGATCTCTGTATGTTTTGTTTATGCCTTGCTCCTTATTACCTTTTTTTGCATTGAAAAAGGTCCTTGACCAGACACCCTTAAAGGAGCCAATGCTCTCTGTCCACATACATGTACAAGTGCAAGACACTAATGTTTCTACTCTGATAAAAGATGCTATGGAATTTTCAAAGGTTTTGAAATGAAGACCTTAGGCTTACAGCCCATCTTAATGGTCCATCTGCCAGTAATACGCTGTCCTGTTAAGATGAGATGGGTTTTCTTTTCCCATGCTTTGAAGGCTTTTGAAGTTTCTCCAATGTTTCAGAAAATTGTGGGGAGACCAGGCCACATCCTTGTGTTTAGTGTCACTTCTGTTTTATTGTCACTATAGCTGGAAGAACTGAGGCAGAGGGTGAAAGAATTGGAAGACAAGGAGAAAAAGGAGAGTAAAAAGATGGCTGATGAGGATGCTCTTCGCAAGATCCGAGCAGTGGAGGAACAAATTGAGTACTTACAGAAGAAACTAGCCATGGCTAAGCAGGTGAGAAGTTTCTTATGAGTTCTGTCTTGGCTGGAGCAGCTGGGAAGGAACTGCCTTCAGGTTACAGCCAGGAAGATTAACTGAGAGAAGGAATTTCTGTGTCTGTATGTGCCAGAGATGAGAGTTTTATCCCTGTTTATCAAAAGAGGGAAAAAAACCCCAACCAGCCAAAAAAAAAAAAGGACAACAAACAAAAAGCCCCGCAACACTGGGGTGTCACAAAGCTCCTGGCAGGGGTGGTGAGGAAATGTTTAATTGTTTGTGGCCTAGGTGAAAAGCACAGAGGAGAGATGGCTGGATGAGCCTCTAGGGGGAGGGGTTGCAATTTCATTTTAAAAGTATTGTCTGCATAGTTCGTACAACTAATACACATGCATGGTACTGTGATATACCCTTTTCCACAGAAAAGGGCTTAATCTCATGATAAGAGCGCGGGACTGCCTCAGTAGGGGAGAGGCAAGCCAGAGACTTGACATGTACTTCTTAAGAATTCGGATTCTTCTCCGTCTAAGTACAGAACTGTTATATCTTACCACTTACTCCTTTAATGTTGAAGTGGCCTAAGTGAGTTTAAGGGGCCTGACAGCCTGTTAGTTGGAAGCTATTGAGTTGTCCATGTGTAGAATTCTTGGCCTAGTGTATTATGACAACTGTTCAGCCTGAAATTGGGAGGCAATTTCTGTCCAGCTCACAGCTGATTTTGCCAGCAAACAAGCCACAGTCTGTGAATGCTTGTGGAGATGACCATCTCCTTTCTACACCTTCTAATTCGGGGCATCTCTGCTGTGGTGCAGACTTCTAGGGAGCACTTTTTTCTGGTTGCTGGGAAGATACTGGTCTCCGATACTGAGACATCTTCCTTCATCTGTGCTTTGTTTGGTGTCTCTGAGTAAATGTTCAGGGTCATTGTAGGGGGTACAAGAGACTTTTTTGCCAGAGCCTGTGATTCTTTTGCAGGAGGAGGAGGCCCTGCTGTCAGAAATGGATGTCACTGGCCAAGCCTTTGAAGACATGCAGGAGCAGAACATCCGTCTGATGCAGCAGCTGCGGGAGAAGGATGATGCCAACTTCAAGCTCATGTCAGAACGCATCAAGTCCAACCAGATCCACAAGCTGCTGAAAGAGGAGAAGGAGGAGCTGGCAGACCAAGTTTTGACACTGAAGACACAGGTAACCTGAGGGAAGGGGAGAGAACAACAGAACTTATGGGAAGGTGGAAGTGTTGTGGGTTAACTCTGGTAGGCAGCTAAGCTCCATGCAACTGCTTGCTTGCTCCCCCACAGTGGGATGGGGCAGAAAATCAGAAGGGCAAAAGTGAGAAAACTGGTGGGTTGAGATAAAGGCGGTTCAGTAGTTAAAGGAAAGCTGTGCACACAAGCAAAGCAAAACAAGGAATTCCTTTACTACTTCCCATGGCAGGCAGGTGTTCAGCCATTTCCAGGAAAGCAGGGCTTCATCATGCATAATGGTTACTTGGGAAGACAAACGCCATCACTCCGAGTACTCCCTGCTTTCCACCAGCTTCTGTTGAGCACAACATCATATTGTATGGAATATCCCTTTGGTCAGTTGGGGTCAGCTGTCCCAGCTATGTCCCCTCCCAGCTTCTTGTGCACCCTCCGCCTTCTTGCTGGTGGGCAGCCTGAAACAGAAGGTCTTGATGCTGTGTAAGTACTGTTCAGGAATAGCTAAAATGGTAGTGTGTTATTGATGGTGTTTTGGTTGCAAAGTATAGCAACATATGAGCTGCTAGGAAAAGAATTAACTGTATCCCTGCCAAAATCAGTACAGCAGGGAATGTTCCCCTAATCAGCCTAGATATGCTGCATTAGACTTCAAAGGGACCTGTCCTAGTAAGAAACAGAGACTGCTGTATGAGTATAAAATGTCCTACAGGTTCATTGCTATGGAGGGCAGGGGGGAGAAGGGAAGTGGGAAGTCACTTTCCTGTGCTAATGGTACTTCTACGTATATATTCTGCCATCCTTGGAACCAAGGTGGAATTGTTCACTGCCTTGCAGCAGTTCTCTAGGCTACCTTCCCAAAAGTAAGACATCTGTGTTGTGAGTATTTGACTGCTACGTTTTAAAGTGTTCACCAGAGGGGTCTGGATACAGCTCTTAGGCTGCTAGTGTGTCTGTGTTCAGGGAGAAGAAGGCAAGCTGAAGAGGTACTCCTTGGTGATGAGGAGGCAGGAATAGTTCTAGCATGCAGCTTTAATGACAACTCTGAAGACCTGCAGAGTATGCATTTCAGTCCTTCTGTACCTCCTCTCTCCCTTTCCAAGGTGGATGCCCAGCTGCAGGTTGTACGTAAGCTGGAGGAGAAGGAACACTTACTGCAAAGCAGTATTGGAACAGGCGAGAAAGAACTAGGTCTCCGAACGCAGGCCCTGGAAATGAACAAACGCAAAGTGAGTGATTACTTGATGTCCTCTGGGGTCGTAAGATGGAGTTGTTGTCTTGTGGGAAACATAGAAGGCTCCTAGCTCTTACTGGTGTTATGGAACCTAATATTCCAGGTTTTGGACTAGCATACCAGAAGGCTGAGGATTCCTGAAGAGAGTTCTAATTAAAGTATTGTAGGCTGATGTTTACTTTGATAAAAAGGAGCAGGTTATAGGTGTTTCTGTGAAAGTCTGATTAGGAAGCTGAAGTAAGGTGCCTTTAAAAGGAAGCCTATCGTGAAAGACAAGGCAGCAGTCAGATGAAAGTTAACTGGGGCCAAAGCTGTCATAGAAAAGATGGTGTAAGTAAAAGGGAAATACATCTGAGGAATGTTAAGAGCTTTAACAAATGTCTAAGATCAATAAAGGAGGTCTGTTACGAGTAAAGTAAGATGAAGTCTCATGGTTGACACTGCCTTTGTTAAATCTATAGTAGAAATGCAGGAATGACATTAAAACAAAAGTGGAAATATCTCTGTGAGGAGGAGTTAGGGCGGGAGTTCAGCACAATCACTTGTGCTTAATATCACAATCTGTGGTATTGAGGGAACTTGGATAATAGATACATTGGTGCAGGGACAGTTACAGAGTGGTAGAACTGGTGAAGAGAGAAAATAGTTGAAAAAAACACTTGCAGTTCTGTCTAGTTCAGCTGTAGAACTGCCTGTGAACAATTTAGTAGAGAAAATGTGGAAGGCTGAAAATACTTGAACAAGAAGAGAATTACGTGGTCATTAGTATTTTCCTAAGTGACATGCATTGCAGTGTGACAGGGATTGGCTCTTCTGAAGAGGAATGTTGAAGCTGAATGGTTAGAACTTGTTAATATTAAGATATTTTGCTGTTGAAATAATGTTTAGCAAGTAATTCCAGTTATTCCATTCGCAAGTACCAGGATTAGATTGAAAAAAATAAATCTCCAGCAGCCTGAGGAGTATTCTCTGAGCAGTCTTGGATTGCTGGGCAGAGGGCCTAGAAATCACTAGAGCTCTTTTGCCATATTTGGTACTTCTATATTGGTTTTCTTTTTCAGGCCATGGATGCAGCCCAGCTTGCGGATGATCTGAAAGCCCAGCTAGAGCTGGCTCAGAAGAAGTTACATGACTTCCAGGATGAAATCGTTGAAAACAGAGTAACTAGAGAGAAAGAGATGTTCAACTTCAAAAGGGCTGAGGTACACACCTCATTGAATCCTTCAATATCTGTCTGCTGTGGTGTCTGTCTCCTTGTGCATTGAGCTTGGAGTGGGTTCCAACTACATTACTTTTTTCTGGTGTCCAGTTTCACTTTGATTTCACCTTCATCAGGTCTTGGCTCCTTCATGTTTTATCTACTAATAACTGACAATACATGTGGCACCAGATGATAATGTAGCCTGTTTCAAGTCTGTTGGACTGTCAGGGATGAAAGTATGGGTGGAGTGATTTAGCTAGCTGTACTGTTGGCCAGATGCTAGTTCTCTTTGATCCCTGAAGAAACTGTGACAGGGAATATACTGCTCATTTATTTGGTCTCTTGTTTTTATACAGGAAGATATTTCTAGGTTACGCAGAAAGCTGGAGACCACTAAGAAGCCTGACATGGTTCCTAACTGTGATGAGATACTGATGGAAGAAATCAAGGATTACAAGGTAGCAACAAGTAGTTGTCTCTGTCAACTTCCCTCTAACTCTGTTTTCGTCAAAAGGCTGTGTAGTCATGCTTTTAGTATTTCACATCTCTTGTCTGCCCTCTGACATTGTAGACATATCTTGCATTGAAGTAAGTACCTTCTCCTTTTGAGGAATGGAAGGACCTTCATCTTCAGTCATCTTTTAGCACACCTAGTGCAATGCAGTGAGCCCTTACTATAATATTTCTGTCTTGCAGGCCCGCCTGACCTGCCCGTGCTGTAACATGCGCAAAAAGGATGCTGTGCTTACAAAGTGCTTTCACGTCTTCTGTTTTGAGTGTGTGAAAACCCGCTATGACACCCGGCAGCGTAAGTGCCCCAAGTGCAATGCTGCCTTTGGTGCCAATGACTTCCATAGGATCTACATCGGTTGATTCCTTCCACTGGAGTGATGGAAAATTGCTGCTTATGCTGACCACCTAGCCTCTCTCACTTTCTGTGATTGTCACTTTTGGGGCAGTCAGTGCTGCCAGCTGATCTGCAGTCTCTTCTGAGAAGTGTGGTTAGGGTATGGAAAGAAACAGATTCTGGATCTTGGTTCCTTTCTTGTCTCTTTTCTTTTATTCTTGCCCGCAGTTTTTGTGGATTCTTCATGCCTGAGAGGACATTTCCCATCTGTCATTTCCACACTGCCAAATTGGGAACATCTAACCGAAGTCCTGCCTTGGTGGGATGGAAGCTGTCTGTGATGCAGCAGAGATAAATGAAGCCTTTATTTGAGGAGTTTGCTTTGGATGTTAATTATTAAATCCCATCAAGTTATGGTAGTGTTTCTGAGAGTGAATAATTTCCCAGTTAAAGGGCCAAATAATGAATGAACAGGTACATCTGTAGACTTCAGTGGAGTGACTCCTTAGACATGTATCTTCCTGACTTTGGCAAGAATCTGTGAAGGCTGGTGCATTAGTAAACATCCTCCCTACCCCCAAAAGGAAATGCACATCTTAGTATCCAAGAGAGAAGAAAGATAAGATGTTGGAGAACGTTTGAACATAGCATTCCACTGATGCGCCCTGGTTGCTGTGGACATCTTCCCCTAGGTTGAGGCATTGCTGTCATTGTCCTTAGTTTCCAGAAAGGAATTTGTAGGGGTTACTTTGTTGCAACTTTGCCACAAAGATTAATCTTGTAATGCACAAAATCTAATAAAAGCTGTTGTCTGGGTTATTTTTCTGTTTTTCTTGCCTCTGTTACTATCTTATCTGTGCTGCTGTCCTTTGTCCACTTATTGGAAACACTTTTCACAAGCTTTAAGCTTCTGAGGTAGAGAGATTACTTCCTTCCTTCCTCTGTTTTCAAAAAATGGTTAACAAAACACACCCTTTTCCTTTTGGCTTTGTCTTCACTACCTTAGTCCTGACAATGCAGAAGGACCAAGATGCTCGATTATTTAGTTACAGTCTCTAGGTTCCCTGTTGCGCAAGGCTGTATTCAAAATCTCCTAAAGTTAAAATGCAAATTTATTTACAGCATTCCTTCATAGGGCACAGTGTTATCATCCTATTGCTAGTTACTTGGGAGAAGAGACCAACACCCACCTCACTACAACCCCCTTTCAGGTAACTGTAGAGAGCAAGTTATCTTCCACACGCTCCAGGAGCCTCCTAGACTGTTTCCTCTCTTCTGTGTTTTATTTCCAGCAGATGGCTGGGAAGTTTAAGTCCCCCACGAGAACAAGGGCTAGCAATTGTGAGAATTCTGCCAGCCCCTTGTAGAATCCTTTTTCTGCCTTGTCATCCTGGTTGGGTGGTTTATAACAGACACCCAGCAGGATATCTACCTTGTTTGCCTTCCCCCTCATCCTTACCCATAAGCACTTGACCTTGTCATCACAATTGTTGAAAAACATTGAATTGTTGAATTTTCAAACAGCTTTGCTATAACAGCAGGCTTCCTTTTACAGCTGTGAACAACAATCTGAATTAAACAGTCCTTGAGGAGGTGCAAAGCCCCTTTACCCTTTCCCAGTCATGAAGTCACATCACCTTTCTACTGAAAATCAAGTTTGAAACTTTTGTGTGTATATACTGGCAGTGTTGGGTCCACTCTGGTCACAGTAGGAAACAGAGACTTGAAACAGTCCAAATTTGTTTCCCAGATGAGGCTTGGAATTTCCTATTTTCTTTCCCCTCACTGAGAAAAAAGTATTCTTTATTCTAAAGTAATATTTTAGTTTAAGCTCAGGAAGTCTTTGAAGCTCATTTTGGAAGAGGCTGGATTTCTCTCTATGCTTACAATTCAAACATTGAGAAAAAGTGAAAAGTTTACATGGTCTGTTTTGCTGTGCCAGAATTGAGTGGAAATAATTAAAAGTTTAGCAAGACTAGAAGTATTTTGGGGTTGAAAGAAGGGAACTGGTGACAAGTATTCGTTATCAAAAATCCATCTAAGTTCAGTGTCCAAGCCAGAGTAATTAAGTGTAAAAAGCCTCTCTAGCCTTAACAATATGTCCATACGTACA